AAAGAGTGACTCAGGTTGAGTGATCAAAAGCCTCTGACTAGGAATATTGATCAGGTGATCTGGGTTCCTCTCACTCCCAACTCAACATTCCGGTCATCGTCCTTTACATCACTTGACAGAGCTTTTAGTCTGCAGCCTCATGTGACCCATGGTATCCCTGGAAATCTGAATCTGCTGTCTGAACACTCCCCTATCCTGAGCTGTCGATACCTGGAAAGAGTCCAGGATTTTTATATTTGCTCAGTTGCAAGTACTAGAATTCTCACCTAAAAGTGGCTGCAACAATAGGATTTTGTCATCTCATGTGACAAGAAGCTTGGAGGTGGGTGGTTCCGTGGCTGGTTAATCCAGCAGCACAATTGTGTCACCCAGGTGCATTCCATCTTCCTACTCTATCATGCCCAATTCACTGGCTGTCATCCTCCAGCTTGTTTCCTCACGGCTGCAAGATGGCTGCAGCAGTTCCAGGCATCACAAACTTATCTAGTTGTATACAAAGACTGGAAGGGAGGGGGGCTTCTCTTTTTGCCAGGAAAGAAGACCTTTCCAGCTGGAAAGAAGACTTTCCCTGGAAGTCTAAGATCTCATCAGTAGTTCCGTGCCTTTGCTCAAGAAGCAGGGTAGTCTGGAAAGTTGAATATCTGGTATTATTTTCAGGCTTTGTACTGAGAGGTAGTCTTTGATGTCAGCTAGCAGTATTTGCCACGCTTCTTAAAGGTGGGATGTGTCCAGGGTTGTGCCTTGATCTCTGTTTTGACTCCTCTGGAAGACTTCCTCTTGGTTGCTGGGGTGTTTATCCAGTGGACTTCGTCTGACTGATGCCCTTAGGTACCACACGATTGAAGCCCACGCAGAAAGGGCTCCTTGACTCCTTGTGCACATGGAGAAATTCAGGGGGGACAGGTGCCAGAAGTGTCTGGATGCAGCATTCTTAGCAACCTGTCTCTGTCTTTCCTCTGGGTTGGCATCATCTCCAGCAGGTCTTCCCAGCATCAGTCCTACTGGCTTGGTCGCTTCAGGGAGAACACTGTTCTGCTCCATCACATCCAGCTCAAGTCTTGGGGCTGCTCATCACTGGATCTGCCTGGAGTAACATGGATCTCGTGCTCACTCTGAACCAATCTCTGTAGCCAGCTGTAAAAGTAGGGGATGGGTGGGGCTTCCCTGGTGGCGCAGTGATTGAGAGTCCTCCTGCCGATGCAGGCGACAAGGGTTCGTGCCCCGGTCCGGGAAGATCCCACGTGCCGCGTAGCGGCTGGGCCCGTGAGCCATGGCTGCTGAGCCTGCGTGTCCGGAGCCTGTGCTCCGCAGCGGGAGAGGCCACAATGGTGAGAGAGGCCCGCGTACCGCAAAAAAAAAAAAAAAAAAGTAGGGGATGGGTGGCTGTGCTCCACAACAGTAGAGGCCACAACAGTGAGAGGCCCGCGTACCGCAAAAAAAAAAAAAAAAAAGTAGGGGATGGGTGGACCCACCTGAATGACTTGGGCTTAGAGTACGGGAGAGGGTTCTTGGGGGAAAATGGGAGGGCAGAAACAAGAGGTGGCCAGGAAGTGACGACAGTCCTGCTGACCCTCTTGTTGGGCTGGAGGAGCCCCAGTGGGATACCTGGACTTACACCCTCAGAAATCACTGTGTGGGTCTCTAACGGCTGTCTCCGTGGTCTGCACATGGGAAACTGACTTGGTTGAAATACTGGTTGATGGAGTGGTGATGTTTTAAATTGAAGGGAAAACACAGGCTGTGGTTATCACTTTTGGTTCTGAGAGAATCAATTTTGCATTTTCTTTAGAAGAGATTAAAAAAGTTACAAGAGAAAAAAAGTAGTTACATAACCAGAGTTACATAAGTATCAGACATTGCAGCATCGTCTTCTCTTACTTCACTTTCCGTTTTTGCCCTTCCCTGTGCTGTTAGAAGGGCAGGGATTGTTGCTGGCATGACAATTTAGGCTTATCTAATATCCCTCTAAAATCGCTTCCATAATCTAAATAAATAATTGCTTCTTTTTATACTTTTTTGTTGTTGTTGAATTGTGAGATCAAATGAGGTGTGAAATACCAGCTCATGGACTGTGTTTGTCAGGCTAACAAAGTGAATCTGTGAATATATCCCTAACAAAACATCCCGAGGAAAGCTGTTATCTCTGAATTGTGACAACCTTGGGCGGAATAGGGTTTTTAATAGAATATAAGGTACCAACTGCCTGAAGTTCTGTGATAAGAATTAAAAATGTGTCAGTATGGGAAGACTCAATGGGCTCGGTTAGGAAGGCAGAAAGGTCTTAATTCAAAATATTTTAATGAACACTCATTGTGAAGAAATGTGAGTAATAAAGATGGAAACCACAAGGGGCTTCCCTGGTGGCGCTGTGGTTAAGAATCCAGCTGCCAATGCAGGGGACACCGGTTCGAGCCCTAGTCCGGGAAGATCCTATGTGCCACAGAGCAAATAAGCCCGTGCGCCATAACTACTGAGCCTGCGCTCTAGAGCCCGTGCTCCGCAACAAGTGAAGCCACTGCAATGAGAAGCCCGTGCACCGCAAAGAAGAGTAGCCCCCGCTCGCCGCAACTAGAGAAAGCCTGCGCGCAGCAACGAAGATCCTACGCAGCCAAAAATAAATAAAATTAAATCTTAAAAAAAAGATGGAAACCACAAGATAACTAGTCGCATTGCCCAACGAAACGAGAAGGGATTAGAAAAATAAGCAAATTTGAAAGTGTTCAGGACAGATAAAATGAAACCAAGAGAAATGAAAGCCGGATGATGGACTCTTGGTGTGGGAAACCACGTGCAACCAGCTAGGTTGAGATGAGGTTGTTTCTTCAGTGATTTCTGTCTGGCCGTGGGGACCCAAACCTCAGAGAAAATAAGGTGCCACTCTGTGTGGTCAGAAACCACAATGCAGAGCTCATTCTCATCTGAAAGTTGGTACAGAGGCAGAGAGAAGCTCCGGGGTGCAACATAGAAAGGGGAGTCTGTGCTTCTCCATAGGATAGAAAAGCCAAACCCTAAATTTACATTTGTTGTATATAATGAAAAGCATGGCAAGAACAAACTTTTGTTAATCGATTTTTGAGATTTTTCTGTGAAAAGTTCTTGAAAGAAATAGACACACCCCACATGATTGTAGCCCAGTTGAAGGTGAAATCGACATCAAAGTTAAATGTTTACTGTGAAGTGTTACCATGTTGGAACATCTGGATTCACTGTTTCAGGAGTTTTTCTCGGCCTGCTCTAATCCAGAAGTGATTATAACGGGT